CCAGACAGACAGATAGACAGAGCGAGAGAGGGGGGGAAAGAGAGACAGGGGGAGAGAAAGAGACAGACAGATAGACAGACAGAGCGAGAGAGGGGAGAAAAAGAGTGACAGACAGAGAGGGAGAGAGATGACAGAGGGACACTTGAGAACGAGTAGTTTTAGTGAAAATTAAACCAATTATGCTTTTAATGACACGGTGATATATTTTTTAAGATCTATAGTGACGAAGTAGTGTATCTGCGTCTATTTGTTTATTGGAATGTATGTTAACTTAAGCCAAAGTCTTACAGTTTATGGCCTAGGGAGGCAGGGGAGTTGCCTAAAATATGCGATAGAAATCACAGGCTTCCTACTTTGTTAAAGGCCTAGTAGCCCAGTGAACTAACTACAGACGGTACTACATTTTCTCATGATATGACTGCATCCCTGTGCATCGCCGTGGCAGCAACTACCGCGCGTAAGTGTTTTCGCGCCCCGCGTCGGGCGAAACGCGAAACAATCCACTCTTGTTTTGGAGCGCCGCCACGAGTGACATCTCTGTTGCTGTAAACCCTCTTTGGTGCAGCCAAAGGAGCTTGTCGTGTCATCCCAGAGAGGAGGGAGGGGGAGAAGTGGATGCACTTTGGTACATGTACATAATATGTACTAATCCAGATTTTCCAATCAGTGTCTAATAGCCTGACCTCTGTCTGGCAATGCGTCGTCTAATCCTCCCCCCCCCCCTCCAACTTGCATGTTGGCTACTTGTAACAGGAACATGACTGAGCGAAAAGTAGGCTCTCATGAGTGCTTGAGCTAGACGTACTGCAGATCTATGTGTTCCTTTTCGAAAATGTTGTAACTGATTACTAGTAGTGGTTAAGCACACAGAGCCTGCTGTAGACAGTAGAGTATGGTGTGCGCTAGATAAATGCTATTATTATTTTCATTAGGCTACCCGCGGGCTAACCCAGATTTCGGGGGTCACAAATCTTGACCTATATCAAAAGTGGGCATTGTCCTATCTATAGGAGAAGTTTGGTTTCATTTATGTGCATATTTGTTTGGTTTTGTAGGGAAAACCATCCTAGTTTTTTTAAGAGAAACTGAATAAGGGGCAAAAACTTGACCTTCAATTTTCTCAGAACAGCATTTTTCGGGTTGCCCCCTGGTGCTTAAAAAAAGCGACCACGTGTAAGCGAGATCCCCATTTAGAACAGGGTTCAATTACTATAACAGGAACATCACGTCGGTCCTGGTGGTCCTGTTGCAGCCAGGGACCACTCTACAATTCATGTCTTATGATGAGCCTTTTTTAGATTTAACAACAGTCTGCCCGCCGCCCATCAACTTCCAACTAGACATATCAATATATATGTGAAGGAAGATTTAAGAGGGGGGGGGGGGGGGGGGGCTACACCCCCAAAGTCAAAATTATGGAATTTGAGTTGTAGGCATTTTTAGCTTCCTCAGCCTCTCCTACAACTATTTCATCACATAAGAACCCCCAAAATCGTATTTTTTCCCATACCGGGCATGTTTGTCAACGCTATTTCCTCATGAAGTCACTACTTTATTTTTCTTTATCGGACGTTTTCTCAAAATGCGACTTTTCTCTACTTTTTTTAATAACTCCACCATTTTTCATCCAATCCTCATGAAATTTTCACAGAATAAAAATTTGTCTGTTGAATTTTTGATATATGGAATAGATTTTTGTTGGTGTTGTCTGGAGCGTAAATTTTTACGGATTTTTTGAAAACTTGAATGCTACCTCAGGAAAAAATTCATTAAAAATTTTCTAATTCGTTTTGGAAAAAAACAACAGACAAAGTTTTAGATCTAATGTTTGTGAATATGCATTAAAAAATTATCAATTTCCATGAGCGATAAGTGCGGTATTCATTACGTAAGACATGTCAACAAAATCCAATATGGCCGCCGTATCCATGGAAACGAAACTTTTTCTCAAATTTGATTGCGGATATAAAGACTCCTTACTATGCTTGTTATATGTGTGAAATTTGGTAAAATTCGGTCTCGTATAAGCGAGATAGCCTTCAGGTGTGCCCCCCCCCCCCCCTTAAATGAACTTATGAAAAAGAAAAAGTATTTATCCACAATTTATATAAACAATGCAGAGGAAGACATGATGCATGTGTAGACTTTAGAATTTATTAAGTAAATTTATAAAGAAAACAAAAACAAAAGCTGCAATGTAAAAAATACATTATTTATATGGCACATTTAAAATTGAAAGTTTCTGAATGGATGACTCAACACATTAGATAATTACAACTTACAGCTAACACTAACAATTCACTTCATACCATCCTTCACCCTGTAGCTGTAATCACCCCATTTTTCAAATAAGCTGAAATTCTGAGATAACTGAAAATCATGTAATGAGTCAAAGTGTTTTAAAAACACAACTTAGATCTATCTCTTTGTTGTATGAAAATAATCAGCTCCATAAAAGCCAGTCTAGAACACATGTATAAATAATATAGTAAAACTGATGGGACGTGGACATCTTTTCATACAAATGAATATTTAAAAAACAATAAAATCCTTTCCTGAAAATATGGGGGGGGGGGGGGGGGGGGGGGGGAAGAGAGAATATCAGAGGAAGGCAAGGAAGTCAACAGTTTTTTCAACTTTTGTTTACTCTCGAGCCTTTTATTAAAACCAGGTCTGAAAAATTTGTTCGGAAAATGAAGTTCAACAAGATGAAAGTAAAGGTCATTGATAGTCAGTGTATTTATTTGTCCGGCCATATGCCTTGTCTTTGGGATATTTTTTAGCGATGGAAGATATCTTGTCAAGGACTGCTTTAGTCAAATCAATCCGACATCGATGAGAGAGGTCAATCAGGCAGAGAAGTACATCACTCAATTCCTCGCCAACATGTTTTCGCTCTCCCTCAGTCATCTCTGGGGACAGTTTACGAAATAATACATCAGTCAGAAGTGATTTCCAATGTGTTAAGACTAATAGAGATAAAAAACTCAACTTGTTGTATGTGAAAGCTAATACTCATGGAAACATTAACTAAAATCTATCCGAATATCAAAATCCATGCATCAATGATAATGTCAAAATCTGTAAGAAATTGATAAAAGTCTAATACAGTCAAACTTCGTTATGTCACTGACCATGGGATGGGCAAGAAGTTGGGGGTATAACAGGGACTGGGGTGTTGTAATGGGGTTTTAATGTTGTCTTCTGTTGAATAGCACTAACTGCCCAGGGCCAAGGGAATAGATTTTGTTATGTTTGTTTTAGTAGAGGTTTTACGGCGCTCGCAACTGCATAAGGTCATATGAGCACCAGAAGATTAGAGGTGTCACAAGAGAGTAACAAACATAAAAAAAGAAAAAGGGGAGATAAGGACGATAGACGTTTGATAGGAAAGAAGAAGCAAACCACACCAGAGCACCCGCAAACCACTCACAGATTTTGTTATGACTAGATGAAAGACAATATAATAATGTTTAACATGTATTTCCCTTTTTTCAAAACTTCATGAGATCATAGCCGTCAGGCTTCAAGCATGTAATGATTGCAAGCTCACAGAGTCATGTTAGGGTGGAAAGGAGATTATCACTGCAGAGCTGCCAGGAAAGTGCCATGCACTGTATGTGGTGTGTACCTTTGGCAGCCAGTTCGCTTGTGGTGCTGCGGGGCAAACTTATATTACAGTCAAACCTTGTTATACCGACAGTCCCGCCTATCATAAGGTTTTGCCAATGTACAGAAAAAAACGCCAATATTATATATATATATATAGTATTAGCGCCTTCACATTACCACCCGTTAACTCTCTGACGGGGGCTCTTGTGGCATAGAGGTTAAGGTGTTGGCATCTTATTCAAAGGTCCCGGTTTCAAATCCGGGTAGCGACCGAAAAATTTTGTTCTCTATAATTGTCTCCTTTCACCTCTTTTCCTGCTTTCTAGCAATGTTCTGTCGTCTGCTTTCGTCTCCTCTTTCTGTCCCCATCCCCTTTTCTCCTTTACCCCCTCCTCTGGGCTCCTGACTCTTTCTGCAGCCTTTCTACTGCTACTCCTTGGCCCCTATTACTGCTGTCTTTCAGCCACACCCCTGATCTTCTGTTAGGAAAGATCTACACCTAGTCTAGCCTTCTCGGACAAGGGCGAACAATCTCGGAGGGCCCGTGTGCAAGTTGCGTATGTTAAAGATCCCTTGGTGGTCTAAAATCGATAAGAGTAGGCTTCGGCTGCCACCAAGGCAAAATTCAAAATTTCCTACAAACTGAAAAAGTTTAATGTGTCCTGCGCGCTCATATGACCTTATGCAGTTGCACACGCCGTAAAACACTTAGCCCCCCCCCCCCCCCAATAAATAAATAAATAAAATAATAAAAAATAACTCTGACTTGTATGGTACCAATCAAACTAATGTAATTTTGCCCTGCAATACCGCCAACGAACTGGCCACCAGAGGTACATACTACCCACAGAGCACAGCACCCACTTGATGACTGCTTGACAGCTAAATCTCTCTCACGCGCTAGCTTGTCCCCCCAGCAAAATATCTGGCATCGTCAGATATCAGCCTAATGACCCCAAGAATGGAATATAATTTGTGAAGACTCATATTCAAATCTATGTGACAGGTCTGAACCAGCCCAAGGACAGACAGGGATCAGGTAGGCTACCACCAAAAAAAAGTACAACCACAGGGACTTTTCTTGACACATAATAGTCGAACTTTTGATTTGGTACAAATTTGACACACATACACAGAAAGAAAGAAAGGGGGAGAGAGAAAGAGAGAGAGAGAGAGAGAGAGAGAGAGAGAGAGAGAGAGAGAGAGAGAGAGAGAGAGAGAGAGAGAGAGAGAGAGAGAGAGAGACAGACAGACAGACAGAGAGAGAGAGAGAGAGAGAGAGAGAGAGAGAGAGACAGACAGACAGACAGACAGACAGACAGAGACAGACAGAGAGAGAGAGAGAGAGAGAGAGAGAGAGAGACAGGCAGACAGACAGACAGACAGACAGAGACAGACAGAGAGAGAGAGAGAGAGAGAGAGAGAGAGA